TTCTTCTCTCTCTCTCTCTCTCTCTCTCTCTCTCTCTCTCTCTCTTTCTCTCTTGTTGAACGCATAAATTGGATCGTCTCATCACGCGACACGACAGAAAAAGCTCTCCGGCTGGCGATAACTTCGCGCATTGTTGATGCTCTTCTTCGCATTTTGAAACGTAGCCAGATTCGTTCGTCGCACGTTTCATTTATTTAATTTTAAAATACGCTACCGCCAGTGTCGCAACAACGATGAGATTTACGATAGAGCTTTGATTTGGATTTTTTCGTGTAGGGCATCACGCCGAGATATATTTTGTACGCTTCTTATCTTTAATATCCGAGCGTATTGTGATTCATTTCAGCCTTTTTTCTGCATTGCTACTAATTGAAATGTCAACACTTGTTTCTATTCCTATCACTGTATAATAGTTTTAATATCTTTACGTTTTGCCTCTTTCTCTAATAATCAGAAAAAGATAAAGTAAAATTAAACTTGATCTACATTGGTAAAAATAAATATTAATATTAATATTACTCATTTTAAAAGATTTATTTCGAAAAACAGACTAATTTAAAATTTAAAATTTGCTGAAAAGAAACATGTGTATCTCATAAAATTTTAATATAATCATAGGCAGGAATATTTTTTTGCCATTTTTATATCTCAATATTGCAGCTCATTATTTACGAAAAAAAAAAACCGAGCAGGACTTCAGCTAACAGTTTATTTATAACACGTTTTTAATCTGCACATCTATAACTCTATTATCTCAGGTAATTAGATAATGATTAGATAACTTTGCGTGGTTTTTGCTAGATATGCTAAGGCTAAATCTTTTACAAACTCGTATATATATTTCAAATGCCTATGCAGTATGATTCATCCGATTTTTAGCAAATCCGAGTGAATGACCATGAATATGTAATCTAAAACATGTATATCTAAAACAAGGTAAAAAATAGACTGAAATTAAAATGAATTTATATTGGTAGAAATGAACATAAGAAAAATACATGCACGGTGTATTATCTTGTTTCTTTTTGTTTCTTATGAAATGAACTTGCAGAACAGTCACGATATATATGTATCTCGAATTGATCAAGGCAAGGTTAAAATCTTGGACTAATGTAAAAATTCTCATACGGCTAAAGATGTCTAAGGATCACAGAGCGACTCGGTGTCGTTGCTCGAAAGCCAATTATTCGGAAAATTACGAAGGAAGCAATAGCGATCGGAACAATGGTCCGGATATACGTGAAAACACTTCAGAATTACAAGATGTCAATTCAAAAAAAGTTGGATTGATTCCTGTAAAACTGGATCTCTGAGATACACAGCGTCCAGAGATCCCTCAGAAAAGTCTATCGCCGCTGACGTATTGAAGAAAGTCAACATTGACAGAATGAGCAGGATCAGTATGCAAAATTTAAAGCTGTCTCGATTATTTCCGCAGGCAAGCTCGCGCTCGCGCTCGTCAATAAAGCACAATTCTGTCTCTTTTCACTTTTCTCACGTAGCAAATTTATGCAAATAATAAATTGGAAAATTATCTTTGAGTAGATGTTCTGGGGTCGCACCTTTGAATCAATTGAACAGTTACCAACTGGCTCTTCGTTTGAGATAAAATTTGACACGTTTGAGGAAGAATATGCCAGGAGTCTGCGTTTTCCACGGTTTACGAGACAGAAAGTTATGACACTGCTTTTTCATTGTAAATCGATATTTCTGTGTTGTACAACAATGTCGGCGGAAAAATTATTAGCACATTGTCGTCGTGTCTGACGTGAGATAAGAGAAACTTAAAGAGAATTCTTATCAGTCTTGTATTTTTGTGTTACAGAGTTACAAGGAATACTGCGATACAGTCATGGCTGAAGACACGCCAGCTCAGAAATTTATAAGACCTGGGAGCCACAAAGGCAAAGGCATCGCCGTGTTCACCAGTGGAGGCGATTCTCAGGGTATCTCGAAATTAAATTAATATTATAAATTAGAAATTTTTTTATAAATTATAAATCTCATGTTACTACATATTTTGAAGTAGACGTTATTAATTTTCGATATTTCATCCTTCAGGAATGAATGCCGCTGTACGAGCAGTTGTAAGGATGGGCATCTATCTTGGGTGCAGGGTATATTTTATCCGGGAAGGCTATCAAGGCATGGTGGACGGCGGGAAAAATATCGAGGAAGCTACATGGTCGTCCGTGTCTTGCATCATTCATAGGGTATGCGTTATAAAATTGAAAAGATTCGTCATCACTTCGTTCATGCATCATTAACGACCGTATTCTTCCTCAGGGTGGTACGGTAATTGGCTCTGCCCGGTGCTCAGAATTCAGGGAGCGTCCCGGTCGTCGAAAAGCTGCCAAGAATCTGGTTAACCTGGGGATAACCAATCTAGTGGTAATTGGCGGGGACGGTTCTCTTACGGGGGCCAATCTCTTCAAAGAAGAGTGGCCCACGCTTCTGAAGGAGCTTGTCGAGTCTGGTAAAAAGAGAATTTTTATCCCGATAATTCATCACGCATGCAGGAATAACTAATGCGTTATTTTCTATTAGGTGACATAACTGCCGAGCAGAGCGAGAAATACAAGCAGTTGCACATTGTCGGTCTAGTAGGTTCCATTGATAACGATTTCTGCGGTACGGATATGACGATCGGTACCGATTCCGCGTTGCATCGTATCATTGAGAGTATTGATGCTATAGTTAGCACGGCGTATTCGCATCAGAGAACGTTCATAATGGAAGTTATGGGTCGTCATTGTGGGTAAGTGTTGTGGATTATCGAGGAGATAATCTCAACGTTTATATCGGTAGACGGTTTCGCGTCTTGTCTTTAATTTCTGAATGTAGAAAAGTAAATAAGACACAAAATTAGGACACAGGATTATCTCGTTATCGCGACGAACCGATGTTGACTCTTGAAAGTGTGTCATAGATAAATGGGCGACTTTCGGTTAGGTATCTGGCTATCGTGGGCGCTTTAGCTGCGGAGGCAGACTATGTTTTCTTCCCGGAATGTCCGCCTCCCGTCGACTGGCCTGAAAAATTATGTAAAAAATTGGAGCAGGCACGTCTGATAGATTTTCCCAAAACTTTATAGACTGCATCGCTAATTTTTTTTACTAACCTTTAATTAAGCGTGAGGAATGAGTTTTATGTATCTGCCAGTTTTTTTTTAGTTGCTAAATGTGTTTTCAATTAATATTTGATCGTTTACGACATCCTGAATGTATATTCCTCTAAATAACGACGTAAAGAGGAATGCGAACGAAAAATGTACTTATATTTTATCATTGCGCATTAATTAACATTAAAGCTAGATATATAAATTTAGCGTTATGGTATTGGAGATAATTAGATGACAGAGCCTTTCAGATACCTGACATTAATGTCAAGTTTGTCTACGGATGCCAGTTATTGCTTTATTCCTGAATCCCCGACAAGTGGTGACTGGATCGACGAGCTATGTCAAGTTATGCGACAGGCACGTTTCTCAACCAGTCGTTACTTTTAAATTATTATTTAACGTTCATTCAGAATAAGCCATTCAATTTAAAGATATGAAAAAATGCGAACATTTATTTTTGTACTTTTCAATGCGGCAAAACTTTCTTAAAATTGATTATATTTTAAATGTGAAAAATTTTGTCACTTTTTAACATTCGTCCCGTTAATATATTGAAAATCTACATATTAATTTCTATTTACATTTTTCGATCGAGAACAACCTTACAAGTTCATAATCATACGTGATCATGATGTACACCATTATTTTATATAATATTTTTAATATAATATTTTTACAATATTTTTGAATCTTGCATCGAAGTAGAATTTTAGTTAGGTTTACAATATACCATTACAGTTATCTGGCTCTGGTGGCAGCTATATGTTGTGAGGCTGATTATGTTTTCATCCCAGAATGGCCACCCGAGCAAGATTGGCCCAACAAGCTGTGCAAAAAATTGTTGCAGGTTCGATAATAATTTTTTTTGAATTTTTTAAGAAAAGTATATTTATTTTTCTGATTTATTCAACCTGCAAGATGAATAGCACATCGCTTCTTGTCATTCATACTTGATTCTTTTATTACCGCAAGTTGTTACAATAATTTTAATTGCTTACTTTGATTTGGTTATTTTGAATGATAAAATATTTGCAATATGCTTTGAAAATACTTATCTTTTTTCTCAATGGAGAAAGTGATATTATTTAATAAAATCAAAATGTGCATGCTGTACTAAATTTATAACATTATATTTGTGTGTATGCAACATATTTTCAAATACATTTGCATAAAAAAATATGCAAAATGCTATTAATATAAATCAAACTGCTTATTTTTAGGATTGTATATAATATTTTCTTTTCATTAATCATTAATCTATCCAATTACTCAATGCATCGGTATCATGCTATTGTCTCTATTTCTTTATTCTATCACATCCCGCTTTTAGATATTTAAACAAAATTTAAACTTTGATGTGCAATTTCATTATTATACAACTCTTCTTTCAGGAAAGACTTACTGGTCAGCGGCTTAATATTATAATCGTAGCCGAAGGGGCAGTTGACAGAAATGGCGATCCGATCACTGCTGACAAAGTGCACAAAGTAGTTGTAGAAAAATTACAGCAAGATACAAGAGTTACCGTTTTGGGTCATGTACAAAGAGGTGGCAATCCTTCTGCCTTTGATAGAGTCCTGGTAAGATTTTGTAATTTATAATTTTTAATATTTTTTAATGTTGAAATGAAATATAATAAGCATATATATTTTTTATTTATTTTTTATGGTCTCTTTCAATAAACTTGCTTTACTCCTAGATATAATATTATAAAACATGATACATGTCACACTCTTGAGTGATAAATGTATACTATAGGGTTGCCGAATGGGAGCTGAAGCGGTGATGGCTTTAATGGAGGCGACACCTGATACGGAAGCCTGTGTCGTTACGTTGGACGGTAACCAAGCTGTGAGATTACCACTTATGGAATGTGTTCGTCGTACAAAAGCTGTAGCGCAAGCAATGGCCGATAAAAACTGGAATCTTGCTGTTCAGCTTCGAGGAAAGTGAGTGAATCGATAAGCGCGTCGTTATATACCAATATGCGAAGTATCAAGTACATTAATAAATGTGTACTATTTATTTCCTTTAGGGGCTTCGAACGCAACTTAGATACTTACAAAATGCTGACTCGTTTGAAAGCGCCGGATTTGGATGATAACAGGGTACGATCTGTTTTTCGTAATAGCTAAGTTTATTCCGACCCAAAAGCTCTGCTTTATATTTTACGCGTTGATTTACCATTAGTCTTGTGTTGAAGTAGATGAAAATAATATCGAGTGAATATTTTGGGTCTCTAATATATAAAATAATAATGATACGTGAATTATTACATATGTTATTTAATACTGCTTCAGGAAGTTAGTGGCCGCGCATTATCGAAGGTAAATCTGTTAAAAGCTTATAAGCATATATTCTTTTCAAATTTTATACGTAATATCAATACGAACACAATCTCCCTAACGACAGCACCTTTTTCCTCCCATAGCAAT